CTTCCGGGAGCCCCCCCTCCGAGCCCGCGGCCACCCCAGGGGGAGGAAAAGGGCAGCCACAGCAAGGCAGTGACAGTCCCGTGGAGCTCACACCCACTCCCGTTCTGGCTGGTTATTCCCCGTGATGATTTGAGAGTACTAATGGTTTGCTCCGGTAGGAAATAAGCATAAAAATTGTGACAACATGGGGTTGTCACTTACCAGGTGCTACACCTATTCAATTACCCACTTACTTGCTTAGATCTAAGGTCTTCATGCAACATTAACTTGGAATCAAATCCCATTGACTCAGTGTTTGTAAAGGATAAGGAGTTCCTTTATAGCGCTTTTTTTCCCCCTCTTGCTTATTTTACAGCTTTTTTTTCTGCCTCTTGCTTATTAGGGGCATCACATGAAACCAAAAAGGTAGCATGCCCAGAAAAAAAAAAAAAGACCAACAGGTCAAATTTCTTTACAATGTTGCTTTTTGGGTTTCTTTTGTTTCTTCTTTTTTCAAGCTGGGCAACTCCTTGCAACAAGATACTGGTAAGTAATAAAGGCTTAGATGCATTTTGGTAGGTAATTGAAGGTAAAAACATCCAGCCAGAGCTATTAATTACCCTGTACCTACTTTGGGAGTCCCTGTGGCAGGACCTGAGAAGTCTTGAAGCCTGGCCCTTGTTTCTCTTCTCAACCAATTTCCCATCTAATAAACAGCTGAAGGCAGAACATGCAACGTATTCATGCTGCAATATAGACATGGAGCACTCCAGCTGGTGTCAGGTGGGTTGGCTGACAGGAGTGCAGGGGTGTCTGAACACACTGCAGGAAGCAGCCAGGATGAGGAGCATTCCCTGGCTCCTCTTGCTCATCTCCCAGGCTCCTTTCCCGGTAACCACGGCTGTGCTGACACAGCCAGAGCAGGGACAGCCCTTTCCTGGGCTGCAGCCACTGATAGTGGCAGTGCCAGCTTCGTGCCCAACTCCTCTTGGCCTGGCCTGCAGGGACCAAGTTGCAGAGTGGCTTCATGTTGATGCTGTTCCTCCACTCCTCCGGAGCAGCCTCCAGCCAGGGCTGCTGTGCTGGGGGAGCAGCAGCGTCTGGTGCTGCGTGTGCTGGTGTTCTCCACTCATCCCACCTGTGTGGGAGATCCCCAGTGTGCTCCTGGCAGGTGGTTCCAGGTCACCATCCCCCCAGCCTGCTCAGGTTGTGTCTGTGCTGGCTCCCTCCCTCCTGGAGGCACAGCCCGGGTTCCTCAGCAGGGTGACCTGCTGCACTTACAGCCCTTCTCTGCCAAGGTCTGTGCTGTCTGCTCAGGAACCATCCCTGGGCTGTGCAACAGGAGGTTTTGTTTGCTCCTGCGTGGCACCCTTGGCACGCTGGCTTTGCACTGCTCTGCCCCCTGTGATCCCCTCCAAACCCTCACCCGGCGCTGTTCTCTCCCAAAGACACACACACCCACTGCTTGGTTAGATCAGTGTTATTTCTCTGTGTGCAGTGTTATTTCTCTGTTGTTAAGTGCTTGTCTGGGAAGAACCTTTGTCAGTAGAACAGGGGGAACTGGGGTCCCAAGGGATGGCTTTCTGGGAATGGTGGGGCTGTGGGATGCTCAGCATTTTTTGGGGGGGTGAAGCAAGGAATGTTAGCAGCAAAGCCTGAAGAGTTAATTTTGGGAGCTTACAATACCCCTTTCCTTCTCCTTTTGGCTGCCAGGAGAACCCGTGGAGGGAGAGGAGGGGAAAACCATCTCTCCCCTCTGGCAGGGCAGCAGTCCAGGAAGGGGTTTGCTGAGCACCAGCAGCTTTCCTTCCTCTGGGCTGGCAAGTCCGTGTGGAGGAGGCTGGGAGCCGGGCAGAGCTGCCTGCTAGCTTCTTGCCACCTGCTCTTTGGAACTGTCCTCCTGCAGGTCCTCCTCATCCGACTGCACCACGGGGGTCTCGGCCCCCTCCTCACTGGTGTCCAGGCTGTTCAGATCCGTGGAGGCCGAGGACGTGGAGGAAATGCGAGACTTGCTCTCGGCTGCGTCGGGCACTTGCAGGGTGATCTCCTCTGGGCACTGGCTGGCATCTGCCCCTGGAGGAGAGAGCAGTGTGAGAAATAAAAAGCCTTCTGGAGGTTTATTGCTCCCTAGGCTTCGTGGACAGCCCCTCCAAAACGCGTGCTTTATTCCTCAGCAGGCTGTGCATTCCTGGCTGCTCCCCGTGCGGCCGCTGTGGCCGTTCCCCACCTCACACCCCCGGCTTGGCTCGGGCAGTTGCTGCACATTCCTTCCCCGGTTTTGGCAGTGGAGCCGTTTCCGTCTCACATGAAGCACAGCTCAGAGCTGTGCTGTGTGAGGCTGCAGCAGGCCAGGAGATGTTTGGCCTGACCTCACTGACCTGTGTGCGTGGAGGAAGGTGCGGCCACCCTGGGCTCTCCCTGCCCTCTCTGGGGTCTGGCTGGGGGGTGGAGGGGTCCTGCAGCTTTCCCACTCAGCACAGTGAGCTCTGCAGCACAGTGGGGGCCTGGGGACTCATGACTAAACACTGGCTGCTCCAGAGGCGCTTCAGGACAAAGGAATTTGACCCACGGACAAGGGAGGTGCCTGGGCTCTCCTGTCTTCTGCAGCACAAGGTTTTTACAGGGGTCTGTATGTCTGGGCTGTGGAGCTGGATACTGACGTGGAGCAGCCTGGGGTGAGATCCCTCCAACCTCACAGACCCCAGCACCAAGTGTCTCCCTTTGGGTGGGTGTGGATCTGCCTGCAGGGTGGCCAGGGCTGAGGAACCAGCCAGTGTGGGCACTGGGGGCAGGAAGGGCTTCCAGCCTGGCCCACAAAAGGCCAGGACTGCACATACCTGGCAGGGATCCAACAATGCTGCTCTCCTCTGTCCCACAGCCCAGAAACACATCCACTGTGTCCTGGTCTGACAGGTCCATCATGTCCATCTGCTCCAGCATGTCCACATTCACCTCCATGGAGGAAATGCTGCCTAAGGGAGCTGCAAGAGAGAGAGACTAGTGAAAAGGTGGGTGCTAGTGCCAGGTAAAGGGCACCATCAGCACTGTGTAGGCAGGACCCTGAGGAGGGAGACCAGCCTTGCCACGGGGAACTGAATTCTACTTGCTGGTAAGGGACCCCAAGGAAAATCATGTTTCCTTAAAACATCCCTCCTGAAGCCCCTGCTGTCTCACTGCAGTCCTTGTCCCTGCTCCAAACTGCTGTCTGGAGGAGCCTGCCCGAAGCCAGTGACTCTGCAGGGCGCCAGTTTGGGTACCCATGTGCAAGTGCCTTCAGTTAAGTGGTGTGAGTAATGCACAGCACAGCACACCCACACACAGCCTGTGTGGTCCTGTCTCGGTGCAGGACATGTGTGTCCCCACTGCCTGGGGATGTCCCACCCATCTCTAACCCCTGTGTCATTGTTCCCTGAAACCCCCCCGCCCCGTGCTGGTGCCCACAGCACTTACGTCTCCGATGCTCTATCTGCAGGTGAGACATCGGGAAGAAGAAATCCACGTCATGCTGGAAAACCTCCTCAAAGAACTTCTGCCGGTCCCGTAGTTTGAGCTGCTGCTGCTGCATTTGCTCCGCATCCAGGCTCCGCTGGGCCTGCTCCATGTCGGCTGGGGAGAAAGGGGAGGAGAGTCAGGCCAGGCAGGGCTGTCTGAGCCCTTCTGTGCCAGCTCACACCGTACAGCTGTGCTGGGGGGCTGGTGAGTCCCCTCTGCTCTGCTTTACCAGCACGCACTGAGTTAGTCACCGTGGGTAGATGTTACACACCGGCATGGCAGCGTCACCAGCACATGCTGTGTGGAGCCTCGCTCGGATCCTGCTCCTGAGGTGCAAGGCAGCCAGGAATAGGGAGCTCATATGCTCACGACTGCTGGAGGGAATTATCAGGGGGGAAAGGGTGCTGGTGTGAGATGAGCCGCGGTTCGCGCACGTTGGAGTTTCAGTTTCCTTGCTACCCAACCAAGGGCTGTCTGTGAATGCTAACGAGCAGGGGAGCTCCAAGGGACGAGAACTGGCGTTAGTGCTCCAGGGTTTCTGGGCTGAGGGATGCATAAGGAACAAAAGCCGCTTGCAACCCTGTCACCCCTGCCCGTGCACGCCCCCGCCGCCACCGTCGCTATAAATACGCTGCACCCACGCTCGCAGGCTCCCGCTCACATCCCTGCTCACAGCCAGCTTGGCTTCTGCCTGCACAAACATTTTCATTCCTGCAATTCCTCACGCAGTTCACCGCCGGTGCCTGTGTCCCTGGCTCACTGGAGGGACTGGTGGGAGCCCTGGGGCTGTTGCTGAAGGAGCTCGTTGCTCATCCCTGGGCCTGGTAACCCCCTTTTGGGTTGAGTACCCACAACAGCAAGGACCCAAGTGGCACAGAAGGTTGTGGCTGGTGGCCCCGGCTGTTCCCAGGCTGGTGTTTGACCTCAGCCATTCCATATTTCCTCTCTGCTGGTCTTGGCCCAGCCAGCACAAGGAAAATGTGATTACTGGAGCAGGCAGTGCAGTAACCAAGGAAACCAAACAAACATCCTCTGCTCTGCCTGAGCATGGCCCAAACCCTCTGCTCCCCCAGGCTGGGGAGCAGCATCCCCACCCTGTCTGACAGGAGCAGGGGCAAGCACAGCAGAGGGACTGGCTTTCAGTAGCATGGAGCAGCACAGGACCCAAATGGGAGAGAGGTGGTGAGCCTGGTGAGGTGTCCTGGAGATCAATGTCACATCTTCCTGAGAGCCCTTCCAGGGTTTCTCTGCACTCCGTTTCTGGGGCATCCTTCAGTGAAACCCCATCATCTGCAGGTGGCTGCCCCTGCGGGCTGGGTTGTGCTGGCAGCACTGCGTGGGGATGCACCATGACTCAGTGCCAGTCACCATCCGCTTTCTGGAAAAGGCTCTGGTCCTCCTCTGGCTGCTCAGCGTCTTCCTGCACCGCCTGGGGCAGCACTCCTGGCTGCCTGAAGGGATCTCTGCCTTGGTATGTCTGACCAAAGCAGTGGTGCCGAGGCTCGGTGTGCTGTGCAGGACCCGGGGTAAGAGCCGTGGTGCCAGGGAAGCTTTCCTGCTGGGAAAGCTGCCTCACCATCAGTAGCAGCCCAGTGCCACTGGGGTACAGCAAACACCTCTGGCCACCCTGTGCCATCTGCAGAGCAGAGTGGGGGACAAGAGGGGCTGATCAAGGCACCGATTACAAAGCTGACTCCCTTCAGCAGCTGGAATCAGCCCTGTGCTGACTGTCCCAGGCAGAGCTGTGTCCCCAAGCCCAGCTGTGCTGAATCCATGGCAAACTTCCGCAGTTCACCACACTGAGGAGAGCCCTAGGGAGGCTGGGCTCAGGGCACAGGCTGTGCTGGCTTCTGGATTCAGGGTGACAGACCAACTCTTCGTGGGACACCTTGCCAAAGGGACCCCAGTGTGAGGTAAGGAAAAGTCTCTAAATCCTCCTGCAGTGCAAAGACAAAATAAACCCAAATGCTCTCAGGTGCTGTCCCAGGTGTCATAAGTGTGTGCTATTAATGTTCTCACTGCCCATGTCTCCCCAGCACGTGACCGATACTCGTAAAGGTGCTTGGGGAGAGGGAGGACAGGCAGCTGGAGGCAGCATTCCTGTGGGCGCCAGGGTTTCTCTAGAGGGAGAAATTAGCAGGACCTGTTTATGAACTTGTTTTCGAGCTGTCGCCGGGGAGCTGGGCACGAGCACTGAGATCCCATTATGTAAGGAAGGCCGGCAGCGGGAGGCAGCAGCTGGGGCTGTGCTTGGCCCTGCCTGACCCGTGACCGCGGTAAGAGCCGGGGACGGAGCCTTCCCCCCCTCCCGGGGCTCTTCCGGGCCCCGGGGGAGCGAACAGCCCTGCCAGTGTCGCTGCCTCTCAGCAACCCTTGCCGGGGAAATAAAGGAGCACGGCATTCCCTGCCGCGGCCCTTGCCCATGTGACGGCCGGTCACCAGCCGTGGGGATTGTCTCATCCGGCTGGCATGTTCCCACCGCGGGACACGTTCGCACACACAATGCGGCCCCTGTGCACCGTGGGGGATCTGTCGGTACCTGCTGGTGGCCTGGCTTTTATTGCTATTGTCATGGTTATTACCGCAGCCCGCTCGGCCGGGGGGCTGGAGGCTGATCAGCATTCAGAGCCAGGCTCTGCCCCGCTGGCTGAACCGCCCAGCGCGGGCACCGAGAGACCCGCTGCCTTCAGAGCCTTCCAGCTCTCACGGCTTGTTAGCCAGTGCAGCTTGGAGAGGAACCGGGGCCAAACACTGCTGCAGAGTTTGGGTGGGCAGGGCAGGGCAGGATCCCCACCAGGAAGTGCAGGCGGGGATTTCCTTCTCACCTGCTCCGAGGACGATGGCCCCGCTGGCCCCTCTGCCCTGCCAGGGCCACCCCTCACGCAGTGTGGGCTCGTGGCTACGCTGTGGTGGGGGAAGGTGTGGGAGGGCTGGCTGAGAAGCAAAGCTCTGCAAGCTGTCCCCTCCACAGCCTCGCCCGAGTGGGCTGGGAGAGGAGCAACTCCAAGGTGCAGTTAGCACGGGGCAAGGGTCAGGCAGGGCTGGAGGGTGCAGGGAGCACCAGCTCAGGGTGCTTCTGACCCTGCATCCAGGCTGGGAGTGGAGCACGTTTCAATCATCTGGCTGTGTTTCCGCTGGGAGTGGATGCACTTTTCATTCCTCCTTGGCCCATGGGATCCCCCCTCTGTGCTGGTAGATAGGAGGGGTGTATTTGGGGTGGGAGAAAGCTTGTCAGTGGAGGCACAAGGCCAAGAGAGGATGGGGATGGCCTTTTCCTGAGGCCACAGCTCTGCAATACCTCGCAGAGATTTCAAAGGATTTAAAAATAATCTGGGCTGTGAGAGGGACAGCGGGGTGCTGGGGAGGTGAGCAGAGTTTAAGTAGTGGGTTGCTCCAAGCATTCACCAGTTCCCTGGTGAATGGAAGAGCTAGAGTAGGCTGGCTTTTGCTCTTCTCCCTGAGCTTTCCTGGAGCCCAAACCTTTGACTCTGCTCCTCCAGAGAAGCCTAGAATGTCCCACTGCTGCCCAGCTTGGCAGAGTGCACCTTGCCCTCCTGATCCCTACGTGCAGGGCTGTGAGGAGATGGCTGGGGGACGATGCAGCTCCTCAGCTGCCACAGCATCCTCTGGGAGGCTCTGCAGAGATGGCCTTTCCCTGTCACCCTGCCCCAGCACAACCCCCGTGGGACAAGGGTAATTCCCAAGGGCTTTCAGCTCCTTCAGTCTTGGAAGAAGTGGATGGTGTGGAGAGCTGGGAATGCCCTAGAGAATCACTCGGGGCCAGGCTGTGCAGAGACGGGATTCTGGACGCACCGGCTGCCTGAGCGTTAATTCCCTGCACGGTTCTCCATCGGCACGTCTGACCTCGTGTTGCAGCACAGCAAAAAATAACCGTGGCCCTGGTGAGAGGAAATGCACCAGGCAAGTGCGAGGGAGGCAGTGGTTTTGGCAGAGCTGCTTGCCGGGAAAAGTGGGAAGGGGGGAGAGCTGGAGAGGGAGGACATGACACCTCGTAACCCCTGTGTGTGCCGCGGTTTCATTGCCTGCACTCCTCCGAGCGATCTCCAAATCCCCTGCGTCTCTGCACTAAAAATATCCCTCCCTGCCGCCCGGAGCTCCTTCCCCGGCAGAGGCTGTGTCATAAGACCCTGCTATTTGCGGGGCGCTGCTTCCTTTCAT